ACTTGAGTCACTGTTCATATCAATTATGTGGCAAATCCAGCGTCTAAGCGATAGAGCTACTGATAAAATTTCAATTTGTCTTATCGAGACTGTTATTAAATAGGTTCATAAAAGTTCAAAATGAATCCTCCGGATTAATCAATACTTATACTGCCTTCCTCTAGACCCTTCGGCCCTCCCCCCTCCCCTGATCCCCCTGCTACTCTTCACCCCCCACACTCTTATTACTCCCCGTGGTACAGAGAGAACGCCTGCAGCCGACTACGACGATTTGCCGTAATCTTTAGAAAAGCAAACGCTACATTTAGCAATCTCGGTTAACTGGCGGGGCAGAATCTCGTGGTGGAAATGTTGCAGACGACCAGAGAGTAAGCTACCGGACATGTCTTGTTATTTCCCGCAATACAAGCAGAGGGAGGCGTTCCACCGTCCCGATGTCGCACTAACAGCAGTCTGTCGTGCATGACGTCCCCTGGCATCATAGAGTAGGAGGCAGCGATGCTACGTACAATCACGTCAAATTGAAAGTCGCGCGTGACGTCAGCAATATCCAGGCGGAATTAACATTACCTGTGTACGTGACGTTCCTTGAGTCTAATCAGACGTCTGTCGTGTGAGACGTTGCCGAATCCAGTTTTGGGTTAACGTCCGACCGTCAATGACGTCGACTACCAATTGTCTGGCGTACACTACAACGTCTAGTATGTCAAGAACAAGGGGTCTCGAGTATGTAGGGTCAGTGGATGAGGATATTTAGAATATTAAGGACGTGCTGTTACCTACGACAGCGCCTCACATACAATAATGAAATATGTTTATTTACCTAAAACCATCTTACAACGTATTGGTGGATGAGACAGGGATATACCACGTTGGTCTGGCGGCGACTCACAAAACAATAACAAAGAGACGCTTTAATCATGTTCTGAAGGCTAGATATTAGACACTGTACGTAGATTCTTACTCCGATCCCCACAGGAATACAAGATCGATACTCGCCATGAAACTGCTGATAGAGGGATACGTTCTGTCTATAGAAGAAATGTTAGCCAAGCGCTGGCTGTCATCAGGCAGCTACTGAGTGGCGAAACATGGCGATATTAATACACGTACATGGATCACGCGTCTGGGTCGCCGACACTTCGTTAGGGTACTGCGTATATTAACTTCCTCACCTGCATCTCAAGCAGGACCTCCAGCCAGCATACAACACGCTTACACTTTGGGTCCGTCGAACCTGCCTTCTACTGCGATTTGCAAAATTGGTTTGAAAATTCTGAAGTTGCTTGCAATTTGGTACTCACGAACCACTGAACATATCAGAGACTAGCTTTCAGAACCCTTCCCAACCATAGACCCTAACATAGATCCTGACAGGACTGGTCACTTAATGGAAGTGGTTAATGTTCGGTGACTGTGGTAGGGTGTGTGCGTGAGTGTGTGCGTGCGTGTGTGTGCGTGCGTGCGCGATGGCGTTCTCCTGTTTACGGTATGTTAGCTTCCATCTGTTTGATGAACAAACACAAAGCCAGCATACCAGCGGTAATGTCACTTCCTGCTGTATACATTCAAAAATCGGAAACAGTGAATTAGGTAATGGCGACATATGACTCCGACTTAGAATATTGAATAGATAATCTATGATGTTTGTCCTGTTCGTTTTGACATTTATATGTTATAATCAATAGCGATGTCCAGACAATTTACACAAAAATGACGTTTTCGGGGAGGCAATTTTCAAAATGAATGATTCACTCAGCCAATTTACAAATTGATTAAACATTTGACAGGTTGCCTGATGGGAATCTGTTGACTGAAGTCGGTGTACAGACCAAAGCAATATCATGTTTAAAAGAGTAAAAAATAAACGGGAGTCAAAAGTGATTAAATCTGTTTTCACTTTAGATTAAAAGTCAAATGGTATTTAGGCATGCAATCTGTGCCCAGAATGGAAACGAAGGGCTGAATGACTTCGACAGATTTCTTTGAAAGTTTGCAAGCACCAAAGGTCATTATTAATTATCCTACCTCAAGGGATCGTGTGTATTTATTCCATGAAATTATCTCTTATAGACACTCAATGTGAAATGTAATACACGCAGACCCTGGAACAGAGCTCACGTGTTGGGGTATAGTCTGTCTTGTAAACAGCCCCGGAACCCTATTTGTTTCCCTATCACTAAGACCTTTCTGTAATGTAAATGCCCAAATGAAGCAAGTTTAGATTTCCACTTTGGCTCATTTTCAAACACAGAACACACAACCCGATCTGTGTTACAGGGCAGAACACACAACCCGATCTGTGTTACAGGGCAGAAAACACAGCCCGATCTGTGTTACAGGGCAGAACTCACAACCCGATCTGTGTTACAGGGCAGAACACACAGCCCGATCTGTGTTACAGGGCAGAACACAACCCGATCTGTGTTACAGGGCAGCCCGATCTGTGTTACAGGGCAGAACGCACAACCCGATCTGTGTTACAGGGCAGAACACACAACCCGATCTGTGTTACAGGGAACACAGAACCCGATCTGTGTTACAGGCCCGATCTGTGTTACAGGGCAGAACACACAACCCGATCTGTGTTACAGGGCAGAACACACAGCCTGATCTGTGTTACAGGGCAGAACAGAACACACAGCCTGATCTGTGTTACAGGGCAGAATACACAGCCTGCCTGATCTGTGTTACAGGGCAGAACACACAACCCGATCTGTGTTACAGGGCAGAACACACAGCCCGATCTGTGTTACAGGGCAGAACACACAACCCGATCTGTGTTACAGGGCAGAACACACAACCCGATCTGTGTTACAGGGCAGAACACACAACCCGATCTGTGTTACAGGGCAGAACACACAACCCGATCTGTGTTACAGGGCAGAACACATAGCCTGATCTGTGTTACAGGGCAGAACACACAACCCGATCTGTGTTACAGGGCAGAACACACAGCCCGATCTGTGTTACAGGGCAGAACACACAACCCGATCTGTGTTACAGGGCAGAACACACAACCCGATCTGTGTTACAGGGCAGAACACACAACCCGATCTGTGTTACAGAGCAAGACGCACAACCCGATCTGTGTTACAGGGCAGAACACACAACCCGATCTGTGTTACAGGGCAGAACACACAACCCGATCTGTGTTACAGGGCAGAACACACAACCCGATCTGTGTTACAGGGCAGAACACACAACCCGATCTGTGTTACAGGGCAGAACACACAACCCGATCTGTGTTACAGGGCAGAACACACAGCCCGATCTGTGTTACAGGGCAGAACACACAACCCGATCTGTGTTACAGGGCAGAACACACAAGCCTGATCTGTGTTACAGGGCAGAACACACAGCCCGATCTGTGTTACAGGGCAGAACACATAGCCCGATCAGAGCACACAACCCGATCTGTGTTACAGGGCAGAACACACAACCCGATCTGTGTTACAGGGCAGAACACACAACCCGATCTGTGTTACAGGGCAGAACACATAGCCCGATCTGTGTTACAGGGCAGAACACACAACCCGATCTGTGTTACAGGGCAGAACACACAACCCGATCTGTGTTACAGGGCAGAACACACAACCCGATCTGTGTTACAGGGCAGAACACACAGCCCGATCTGTGTTACAGGGCAGAACACACAACCCGATCTGTGTTACAGGGCAGAACACATAGCCCGATCTGTGTTACAGGGCAGAACACACAACCCGACCTGATCTGTGTTACAGGGCAAGAACACACAACCCGATCTGTGTTACAGGGCAGAACACATAGCCCGATCTGTGTTACAGGGCAGAACACACAACCCGATCTGTGTTACAGGGCAGAACACACAACCCGATCTGTGTTACAGGGCAGAACACACAACCCGATCTGTGTTACAGGGCAAAACACACAGCCCGATCTGTGTAACAGGGTTTAATGACATTGGGTTTAATGTCGGGTTTTCGCGTTCAGTGTGCATCATTGTTTTGTCCCTCTAATGGCAGGTGCCAGATATGGTAATAACCACTACAGGACACCTTGTAGAATCTTCTACAGCAGTGGGGGCGGTGGGGTAGCCTAGAAAAGCGTTGGCTCGTCACGCCGAAGACCCGGGTTCCTACATGGGCATTGTGTTAAGTCCATTTCTGGTGTCCCCCGCCGTGATATTGCTGGAATATTGCTAAAAGCGGCGTAAAACTAAACTCAGAGTCTACAGCAGTGAAATGGAGGGAGGCCTAGGATTGTGTTTTTTAGGCTGCTGATGCGCACATGGTTTGACGAGCCATTTACTACTTACAGTTTTAGAAAAACAATATATTTAGCTAATTTTCAGTTGTTAATAGACAATTAAAAAATTTTTCTCGTGCGTTAATATTTTCCTTCATTTTATATATACGAAATGTATTTAAATTAACCTTTTAAGGGAATTTAGATTTAGTAATGTCAGTCTTCCACTTTTGGGTATTCTAGGGTGGGTATTTCTTTGATTGTTTAGTTGAATTTATTGTCACGCCCTTTTTCTGTATATAAGGGACCATTCATAATTTATGGTTAGGGGGTGATGATGATTTTTATGGAGAAGCATGTACAATGCGAATTACCCCCCCCTAAAATTTATGTACAAAATTAGTGACCCCGCCCTGCATGCCATGTACAAATTCAATGACCCCCCCCTCCACTTCCCATAAATTCTAAGCATAATTTTAAAAATATTTGTATGTACAAAATTGCTGACCCCTTAATACGTGTGTGTACAAAATTGCCGACAAAATTGCACCCCACCCAGCTTCTCAGAACAAAATGGGTGAAAAAAAACAACCTATCATCACCACCCCTAGCCATAGATTATGAACGGTCCCTAAGTGGTTATATAGTGATTCAATCGTCGTAAAATACTCACGACAGCGCCACAGTGAAAAGAATCTGGGAAACCGGTTTAAGTAAACTTGATTCGGAATGACCCTTCTGGTGTTTCATTGGTTAATATTTTAACATCCGCTTCCGGTAACGCAATCGCAGTCACTCTATAGTGACATTCCAAACAAATGCGAATCTTGACGTCTGGTTGATCTCACACTAACACCGTAAAGATGGTATGTTATTTCCATTTTATGTATCTAAATGGTTTGACAAGACGTATCACGGACATGCAACACTAATTTTGGTTTAGGATTAGCTTAAGATTCTCAACTGGCTGCTCATCCCTGTTGATGTTCGTTGCTAGATCTTCGAAATAACATTTTAACAAGTGATTTCACAGCGATTTACTTCTGTCAGTGGTATCGAGTAAAGGGGTTTCTTACTGATATACTTTTGGTGCATAGGGCATTCCTCACGCTAGCGACATGTGACGCACTTCATTTATATCATATCATCACATGCTGAAGCCCAAGCCTACAAGAAATGGGGATTTCATCGTGGGGGACCGGTCATTGATTTAGTATGGGGGTGTCGGTGGCTCAACAACAAACGTGGCAAGCTATAGTAATACATTTTTATTTTTGGTAATGCAAACAGAAACGGCTCCAAACATCTTTGTCCAATGATTTGGTTCAGATTATCTCCCCCTCCCAAAATTATGGTACTGGTCCAAACATTCAGTGGTGCCCACTGTTCATGACAAAAAAGAAACACACCTCACAAATACAAATATCCTTCGTATAAGACCGTTTCTTGACCTTTAATTTCTGTGACATACAATTATCCAAAATGCAGTCAGATATTCAAATATTTGTATTTGAAAGATTATGCGGAAAGAAATCCCGTATCCCCCCTTAAATTTCATCCTAGTCAAATCATATCACCTGAATATCTATATTGCTCATCTGATAAGGATGAGTTTTAACATGTTTCTTTAATTGTATCTGAACATACTGATGGACATATCCAACTTCTAAAAATGCCTCTGAAAGAAATTTTCCTCATCGTTAAAATGTAGGGGGGATACGGGCGGAAGTCTTACCGATTATGGCTATGCTTTAGCCAGTATGTATAACTAGAAAAACAGATGTCAACTGACTAACTTAGACAACAACCTCATTCCATTGAATGATTGATCATGTTGATTGTTTCTTAGCACTTCAAAGTGATAAAAGATGGTTTTATTCACAGTGCACGTGGTCTATACAGTTTTTGTATTATTCAGATGCTCTCACGCATGAAGCCGGCCATGGGGCCGGGGGCTGCCACAGGAGGAAAGGAGCAGAAGAAAAAGAAGAAATTTCCGAAGTTAGATGAGTTTTTGTCGGCTCGAGATTACACAGGTGCCATCACTCTGCTGGAGGTACATAGTCTTTGCTGCCTTGACTGCCTCTTTTCAGCGTAATAGCTAGTACTTGTCAAGTATACTGTTGAACAATGCCATGTTTCAACAGTTTAAGTCATCTAATAAACATTAATATTGTATGTACTCCTGTGAGAATGATGAGCCATTTAAGTATGAACTGTCATGACCCATACTGACAATTATCCACAGCTGCATTTGTATTTTTTGGTAAATTTGTGTCAACATGGTTTCTTACAGTTTAGCCGTAACAGTGGAAAGGGAAACGAAGAAGTAGACATGTGGATTGCATACTGCGCCTTCCACCTGGGAGACTACAAGAGATCTATGGAGGTATGTAACCAAAGTGTTTGTGCACCATTTTTGAAGCTGAGATAAAACAACATGGGGGACAACTCTTTCATGGTTCAGGACAACTCAGCTTCCAAGTCTATTGCTTATCATTGTAATTATAGTTGAATCAGAAGTGATTGTTGTTGTTTTAAAATGCCTGAACATCTGACTAACATGACCAATTTGTGTACAGGAGTACGAGAGGCTGTCCAAGAGGGATGGCTGTCACCCAGACATCTTCGCCTTCCTAGCCTGCTGCTACTTCTTCCTGGGGATGTATTCAGATGCTGACACAGCTGTAGCACGATGTCAGTACCAACTGTCTCTTAACAAGCAACAACGTTTATCACCATGTCCATGTGTTCTTCAACAAATGTTATTGTCATATCTACCATTAATGTCTATACTGTCAGAAAGTAGATAAATAATTGACTTTTGTGTATGCAGTATAGAAGTTTGACTCACCAATAGGCCAAACAACCATGTCCCCAGGTAATTTATTGTCTATAAAGTGCTATTATGGAACGTGCATATGTAAAACCCACACTAAACAGAGAATTATGAAAAAGACAATGATAGTACCAGCTTTTTGACAGATATGTATGTGCTTCCAGCTCCCAAGAGTCGTCTACAGAACCGCCTGCAGTTCCACCTGTCGCACAAGTTCAATGATGAGCGTAGGTTGATGGGGCACCATCAGGCCCTGCAGGATATCATCGAGGACCAGCTGTCCCTTGCCTCCATCCACTACCTACGATCACACTACCAAGAGGCCATCGACATCTACAAGCGCATACTGTTAGATAATCGGTAAGAAATACCAGATACCTGTCAATATCTTGTCCATCTTTTCTGTAGATTGTTTCACACAATGGATATGCAGGCTTCTCATGTATAATTGAGAGAGAATTATGGTGATCGTAATTAATAATAATTTAATCATTTTGGGGAATTATTCTAGACACTTGCCAATCAGGCTTGGGCAATGTCGAGATACATGTACATCTCTGCAGGATCAGGCAGAAACACATGCCTTGAACACGAAAAACATTGTTTTATAGTTTTCCTAATTTGAACTGAAACAAAAGAGCAAATGATTTATTTATAGTTTTGAAGTCATGTACATGTATGTGTTTGGATGTGCGCTTACAGAGCAACTATTTGTATACATTGTCAGGACTATCTTACGCTTAATTATCTGTAAGGTGCACAGATATCAGACAGGTATTACATGAGCACTCTCTCTACTTGCAGAGACTTCCTGGCTCTCAATGTGTATGTGGCGCTGTGTTACTACAAGCTGGACTACTACGATGTATCACAGGTTGGAACCATTTGTCCATGTTTAACTGGCCACGTGTTTGGCTGGCATATTGCAGTTGCAAGAAAAACACCAAGTTCCACCTCCTCAATATCGTTGTTATTAATTGGCTTAAATGTCTGCTATTCTGAAAATATAGCCAAATGCAGCCAATATTCTGACACAGGAATTACTATCACTGAATCTACCATTAATGTGCATGTTTTAAAAGTAACAGGTGCAGGAAAAAGTATTTGTAGTCATGATTAATAGTTGCTGGAAAATGATGAATGTAAGTACCAAATTACCATGGATATTGGAATATTATTTCCGTACCTACACCTGTGAAGATTAAGTCGTTAATCCTTCTTGGTCTGCATCCTGCTGTCACCTGTTTGTTTTCTTCTGCAGGAAGTGTTGGCAGTTTACCTACAGCAGTTTCCAGACAGCGCCATTGCTCTCAATCTGAAAGCTTGCAACCACTTCCGACTATACAATGGCAAGGCTGCAGAGGTGAGTAGTTTATCATAGACAGTCAACAAGTCATAACTAGCGATGGATTGTAGAACTAGTGCTGTAGCTAACACTGGTGGGACTTACAAATTCTAGTATCTGTGTGACATGCTTGATAGAGCTTCCAGAGTTATAGTGGCTGTGAACTCCAGCCATTACGATGTCGACACCAGCCCATGTTGGCTAAAAGTAGCCACTAATGAATCAGATGGCTGGTTTATTGTTTTAGAAAATGGTCACGATATCAGTCACTGTATTGCCAGACTTCATAACTGATAAAACCTGAAGTACATGCATGGGCAGGGACAGACCACAACTATGATGTAGTTCTTTACTACTCTGCTTTAGCTATTTGGCATCGACTGGTCACTAATGCATAGCAGTGAATCCCTCCTACAGATCTGATTAAGTGTTGATGTTCCTTTGCTAGCTGTTGTTCCTTTGGTTGCTGCAGTTGTTATTGCTTCATTTTCAGGCTGAACTAAAGGCTCTACAGGAGATGTCTTCACCGTCCTTCACCTTCGCCAGGGATCTCATCAAGCATAATCTGGTATGTTGGTAAAAGTTCAGCCATACTATACGTCCATCTACATGTATTTGAGTCAGTGCTCCGGTACAGTTCTTAATAATTTCACATTGTTCATGGAAGCCTGTTCTCAATTAAGATGACATGAGTGTGTTTTGTTTTTACTTGTAGTTGACCGAAAATCTTTTGACTAGACCTGCAGTATATTACATGTGCCAGTCTGGGTGTCTATTATCTGAATTTATCTGAATTTTAAACACTGTCTTTAGTTATCTGTCTGTAAGCAGAAACATCATAATCGGGTTATACATACATAGGTAAATGAGTTTAAAATATTTCACTATATTCATTTTGTAAACCTTTGACTTTGAGCTGAGACCTCATTATATATACATGATTTGATCAGAACATCAGAAACATATGTTTAGTAAGCCTGTAGTATCAGTGTAAGCCAGCCCTGTCACACACCAACATCATGTGTACTTTATCATTCATTCTACCAGTGTCTAAAACTGAGGTGTGTTTCATCCCAGGTGGTGTTTCGTGGTGGCGAGGGGGCGCTCCAGGTGTTACCTCCCCTTATCGATGTCATCCCTGAAGCCCGCCTCAATCTGGTCATCTACTACCTCAAGCAGGGTGAGTGAGGTTCATGCACCATATTATTACGTAACTGAACATGTTTTATCAATATGACGTTATACAAGCAAGAATGTTCAAATGGTGAGTGTTATCTGCAGTAGCAGTGATGGTATATAATGAATTTGGTAGTAGGTGGTTAATAAGTACATGTAGCTCAATCATGTTCAGAGAGCGATTAATACCCCTTCCATAGATGAAGCATCCATGTTTTTTTAAATAGCTATAAGTCAAATACTCTGAATACCAACACACTGGGTTTGTTGTATCTGGGTGTGAATGTTGCTATTACAGATGATGTGGCCGAAGCCTACAACCTGATCCGAGATCTGGAACCCACCACGCCGCAGGAGTACATCCTCAAGGGAGTAGTGAACGCTGCACTCGGACAGGAGCAGGGATCTGTATGTGCTCACTGTGTCACTCTCATGATCTGAACCATTGATTGGTTTACTTGGCCACGTTAGTTGTTAGTAAACTGTACAGTCAGGGGAGGAAATAACTTTAAAATTGCTAGTGTACTCCGGTACAGTGGCACATGTAAAATCACTTGCCCTGATAATTTTTCCACTATACTAGCCATTTTCTTGTTGATTTTTTAAATAAACAATGTAATTAATATTGGAAAATCAACTGGACACTGGTACAGCGTGATATACAAATTTGCTTGCCTGACAGAAAAAACCACTGGACTCGGGCGTCGGGCAATGGGTTATTTCCACCCCTGACAGTTTATGTAAAGCGATATCTCCCTACCCATGGGGCTTGTATAATGCAGAAATCATGAGAATCTATTGATTGAATCTATTTTCTCTGGCAAGTATTTTCTGATAGATAGTTGAGTTCTTTCTCTGACAAGTGGTATGGTATGGTTGATGTATACTACCTGTCTATGATTTTGTATAATGACCAGCAGGTTCTGAAGAAACGGAAACAACACTACTGTGATATCCTAATAATGGTTTAAATATTGGGAAAGGTTCTAAACACCCTATACTAGACAATAAATGGCAAGAGGTACATGGATCACATGGTCAGACGCATGGATATAGCTGATCACCATTACTTGATGACATGGGACATGTACATCATAACATTCACTGGGTTGTCCAGCATTCCACAGAGGAACAAAACAATCATTTGTCATTTACTGGTCACTTATTGATATGAACCAGAGTTAGCAATGTGACCTGCCGTAAGCTTACTCATATAAGCCTTTGTTCTCTTTTCAGAGAGAGAGCACTTAAAAATAGCACAACAGTATTTCCAGCTTGTGGGAGGCTCTGCCAGTGAATGTGGTACGTACACAGGTGATAGATAGTCATGGATAGATTATCCCCTGAATCAGTGGTTTTGCCTCAACTCATACTATTCATAACTTCAACACATTTGAACACAAAATCTGGAATGTTGTATACATTTGGTACAGTTATCTGGTTCCAAGACACCATATACTGTGCAAAGTTGTCTCCCTGTGAATATCGTTCACTGACTCTAACACGCTGTCTATCTTTGCAACTGTCTTTATGGTTCAACTTGACACTATACAGAGATATCAGAATTAAGATCTTTCTCCTGGCTTCACTGCATAAAATGCTCACACTGTATACTTTGTGTCACCTTGTGTGTGTGGAGGTATAATGTTGAACATCTCTGTCTTAGACACCATCCCTGGACGTCAGTGTATGTCTGAGTGCTTCTTCCTTCTCAAGCAATTTGAAGATGTGCTGATCTATCTCAACTCAATTAAGGTGGGTGGTAGGATATACAGTCAGCTCTCGTTAATCCGACACTCATTAATCCGACAATCACGTTAATCCGACAAAAAATTAGGGAACCATTTAAAACAGTGATAATTACTCTCGTTAATCCGACATTCTCGCATTCCGACTCCGACACACCAATCTAGCAACTGATTATTGTAAATACATTGTAAAAACATTCGTTAATCCGACAATCAACACAGCCCGTCGGATGATCCGACCGTATACAAACAATCACACGTGAGTGGTAATTAGGGTGTGCCTTACTGGCTACTTGACACTGACGTCGGTGAACATCACAATTGTTAATTAGGAACACAGGATAATTAATTGAGACGATTTAATCAAGAAATAACAGTAGAGCGAGCTGTATAAAATGTTTACAACCGACATGAGTTTTCATCACAAGATGTTTATCACGAGTACACCACCTGCTAAGCGACCCCTTGTAGAAGTTACGCCCATTGATCAAGAAAGAAATCTCCTTTTGAAGAAAGACAAACCCCAGACAACACAACAAGAAGTCATCACTTTTGCTTAGCAGAAGTTTGATGTGAAGATTGGATGATCAACCATATCTGACCTCCTGAAGCAGTCTGCTTAGTCCAACATTTCTGTTAATCCGACATATTTCTCTGCAACCACAAGTGTCGGATTAACAAGCGCTGACTGTACCTTTGTATTTCATTAAATTCTTTCATTCTATGTCAGCAGGTTTTATGTCATCTAAAATGTTCTCCAGTCTATAATAACTGCAGAATGGTAAAGTGTTGTGTAGACAGCATTTCCCATGACGGCATCAGATATGCTGATTCTGTATTCCATGTTACAGAGCTACTTCTACAATGACGACATGTTCAACTTCAACTACGCACAAGCCAAGGCAGCCGTGGGCAACTTCAAAGAAGCAGAGGAGGTAGGTGGTGTTTCTGTCATCTTGTATGAGATCATCTTCACATTAGAAGTACCAATACCATTTGTTTCAGATGTTCAAGTGTGCGGTAGGAGATTCCTGTCATGTGTGTCAGATTGTGTGTGTACAAGACAGGTGAATGGTGTTGTGTTATCTCAAAGTATCTGGTGGAGCAACTACCTCTGCTTCAGGTTCCTATCTTTTGTGGGGTGTGTGCTGTCATGTACATATCTGTGTTTCAGATATTTATGCTGATACAGAGCGACAAGGTGAAGAATGACTACACCTACCTGAGCTGGCTGGCCCGATGTTGTAAGTCATCAGTATCATAACCCCTTCAACACAGCTGTTGTAGAGCACATGGCACTGAGGGTTTTCACATGTTTTGACAATTTTCATATCTGCAGTAAAATTTGTTGCACTTGTCATTTTGGCTGGCTGAAGAAATAAGTTTGTTGAGGCTGTTGCCTATGCTGTTTCCTGTATTTGCAATGACATATTTAATAGCACATGTGGCCGATTAGCCCTGTGCAAGAACACTTATTGTGCAGAGTTGTCTCCCTTTGTTATGGTAAACCTGTGGCCCTCGATCATATTCTCAGATTTGCCCTGTGCAATAACACTTATTATGCAGAGTTGTCTCCCTTTGTTATGGTAAACCTGTGGTCCTCGATCACATTCTCAGATTTGCCCTGAGCAATAACACTTATTATGCAGAGTTGTCTCCCTTTGTTATGGTAAACCTGTGGTCCTCGATCACATTCTCAGATTTGCCCTGATGATTGTTCATCTCATTTGTAAACTGCTGAATCTTACATCACATTTCCCTCATTAATGAGTGAGTGAATATGTTTTTTCACTGATTTTGGCAGTATTCAAACAAGATCATTTCGAGGGCCACCAGAGACAGTGTATCCTCGTGGGAATATAACCCATGGCTTTGATATGCTGAGCAAAAAATCTGACCATGAGACACCCCACTGCCCCCTTATTGTACTGTACAAAGTAGTGTTATACCCAACTCTGTGTATTTGCCAGATATAATGAACCACAAGGCCAGGTTGGCCTGGGAGCTGTACCTGAAGATGGAGACATCGGGGGAGTCATTCAGCCTGCTGCAGCTCATTGCTAATGACTGCTACAAGGTACCTTAAACTTGAGATGACATACTCATGTTTGATGTCGTTTATAGATGGAAGATGCTATATTTGTATTGTGTGATAAAAATGTGTTGCTGATTAACAGTCTGCCAGGCTTTAGGAGACGTCTTCATCAGTGCCTTTTATTATATTGATGAGTATATTTGCCTCAGCTAAGTAGAGGTGAATCAGGGTTTGTTGGACCACTGACTGGTGTGCAGATATTTCTTTGTCCATGTCACCTTTATAACCTCCTCAGGCACATCATGTATGCGGAGTTGTGTCCCTTAGGTGTGCCAGAAACCTATGATCACAGGTTAACATCCGTATTCCCCCTGATTTTGTCTGTTGCTTTGTTAGTACCATTCCTACTGCTGCAAGATTACCAGAGTAGTACAAATTAGGGAACCATTTAAAACAGTGATAATTACTCTCGTTAATCCGACATTCTCGCATTCCGACTCCGACACACCAATCTAGCAACTGATTATTGTAAATACATTGTAAAAATATTCGTTAATCCGACAATCAACACAGGCGTTCGGATGATCCGACCGTACGTATACAAACAATCACACGTGAGTGGTAATTAGCGTGTTCCTTACTGGCTGCTTGACACCGACGTCGGTGAATATCACACTTGTTAATTAGGAACACAGGATAATTAATTGAGACGATTTAATCAAGAAATAACAGTAGAGCGAGCTGTATAAAATGTTTACAACCGACATGAGTTTTCATCACAAGATGTCTGTCACGAGTACACCACCTGCTAAGCGAGCCTGAGTAGAAGTTACACCATTGATCAAGAAAGAAATCTCCTTTTGAAGAAAGACAAACCCCAGACAACACAACAACAAGTCATCACTTTTGCTGAGCAGAAGTTTGATGGTGAATATTTTTACACCGATGAAGATAACTTATACACCTGCATCAGCTGGATCATGACATTTCATTAATAATTTCTTTAATCACATTTGGACTTTTTCCTCAACTTGTCAAGTTGACTGATGTGCATCAGCTGGGCTTTCCTTTCACATTTGGACTTTTCCTCACATGAAACTGCACTGTTCTGTTCCAACCTGAGTTACAACTATGTCGCAGCTGTGCTACATGTTCTTGTTTGTTGTGGCAGATGGGTCAGTTCTACTATGCAGCCAAAGCATTTGATGTTCTGGAACGCCTGGACCCTAACCCCGAGTACTGGGAGGGCAAGCGAGGTGCCTGTGTCGGCGTGTTCCAGATGATCATTGCCGGTCATGAGCAGAGGTGAGTTCAGATCATGTCCAGATGTCTACACCTCGGAGTTTTCTCACCACAGCATGTGTATTTTTTCCTACAATATATCCTGTAATGGGATAGTGGAAAATGGCACCCGTCATCTTGTGTAACAGGATTATGACATCCTCCATACCCAATATGTTATCTCTTCTTTCTATTGTGAGAGATACCCAAGATCTACTTGTGGAGCTAGATCAGTTTCAGCCTCATTTGAATACCAAAATAACAATGCAAACATCAGATCAAATTACACTCGAGGTCATTCTGTGTCAGGTTAGTGATATTAGAAACGAAGATGGTGTTTCAGTTCTGAAATGAAGATATGGTTGCAGGTATTGCAGGGTACTTATCTTCATGAAAGTGAGATAAAATACACTGGGCAATAGAGGTTGGATAAAGAAGGAGAGTCTGTTTCAAGTCAGGCCACAATGGAAAAAAAAGAACATTTTCTTATTCTTCTTATTCATGTTTCTATATATAACCAACATATTGGTCCATTACTGACCACAATGATCTTCTGGGTCTGCAAGGCTGGAGTGATAGGGCATGAATGTGGTAGAGTGGAGAGATATGATAGGACTTGTTTTAAAGGCGAGGATGCTTCACATGGTTTCCTAGTGACTGAAGAATGCCGACATCTTGAAAGTAAATATTACAGCTGGGTAGCTTCAGTGGCAGGGAGAATATGGATGTCATATGACTGTGATGTCATGGCAACCGAAAATGTCACAATGATCTGGATGCACTAACTCCAATGAAAGCTGTTTTTGTCAAAAGCTAAATGATGTGAGATCCTTAGTGGCAGCTGCTTGCTACTAACCAACTGCTTCACGTCCCACCTTGATACCTACCTTACACTAACAAACACCCCCCACAACCTACTCCTCCCTCCCCCATAACACCACCACCACCTTACATTTGGTATCCATGACTACAGAGAAAACATTGTACATTGTACTTAGAACTATGTTCATGAAATTCTTAAGAAGATAGTTCTGCACAAATGCCCAAGCTGTGGTAATACCTCCCAGTTTTCAATATAATGTCATCCTGGGACCTTTATCCCTTTGCGAATTTTAAAAACATTTCCATTAATTCAACGCCTTCAGGACCCCCGGACCTCACAACACTGGCTCCCACCCCTACAAACTGACAAATCACCCCTACTATGACTAATCATGTTTGTCTAATCTTCTTCCTTTGTGTTAGACACAATCTCCCTCCCACACCTTCTCCCCCTAGATCCCCTAAACTGGAGGTGCAAGGATAGTTGTGGATGACAGTGTGTACACAGCCTAGAACTCTTCAGATTGGTGGGACGGTGATGAAAATTGGTGAGATCAGGCTGAAGGAATCCTTGCACTTCCAGTGGTGGCCATGCAGTGTGATGGTCCCCTGCTTGCTAGTAACTTGGCTGTGCTGTTTGCCTCTGCAGGGAAAACTTACGTGAAGTTCTGCACCTCCTGAGAAACACCAGCAATCCACAAGTGGAATACATCACAAGGACCATGAAAAAATGGGCCCGCGACAACAAAGTTCATGTCTAGCAGACTCTGCCCTAGTTTTCTACTGTCTACCCGTTCACTCATTTCCTTCTGTTCATTGCCCTCCATCTAACACTCTTGTCACTGTATCTAACATTCAACATCCTGGCAAGCTTCAAAATTACTTGTAGTAACCCACTGCTAAAGACACATTTACAATTGTAATGGTACAATGAAAATACAAAATGTCCTGAAGGTCAGGGTTTGTTATCGCAGGGTATGAAACTCAGACCACAGGGCTGGTTAGATGTAAAAAATGCCAGCCCTCACCAAAACTTACCTGCCCACAAAATATCTTCATATACATGTCTAAATTTTAATCTGGCAGTCCATGTTGAAAACAACCCATCCCAGGCGGTCAGGCAGGCAGGTATTTCGAACGCTGGTTACAGTCAATATTTAAAAGTATGTATTATATATCTCACAGAAAAGTACAGAGGCTGACTTTATAAGTTACAGTTACCTATTACCTAGGTCACAGTATTTCTTCTTTTGGACACACTCAAAAGGGCATACTAAGCATACCTGTTAGTGCTAGTACACTTACACAATGCATCTGTCCCTGCCTTGGGATTATCCACACTCACCACAATTCACATATCCCAGGCATCATGGTCTGCTTGGTCCTTGGCACCATCACAACAACTCTTGCTTCCTCAGCATCTCTATGCAGTAGTTCCTCAAGACTTGTACAGGTTAGCATGTGCAATCCTAGCACCTGCAGTAGAGAGCAACACCAGTCAGAGCATCTTTTTTGTGTACTGAACCTCATTTTCCACAATTCTCTAATTGATTTCCAGTCTTTGTCCATGTCCTGTTTGCATGCTGAGTGTGTGTCTTGTCATGTTGTGTCATGTTGTGTCATGTTGTGTCATGTTGTGTCATGTTGTGTCATGTTGTGTCATGTGGACCATGTTTTAGGGAGATGCTGCGTGATGTCATCAACATGCTGCGTAATACCAGCAACCCGCAGGTGGAATACATCATCAGGACCATGAAGAAATGGGCCAAGGAGAACCTGGTTCCTCTGCCCTGAGAATCACTCGTCCCTGTATAGTCATCATGATCACTGAAGTACATGGTCATCTGGATCTCCATCAATGTTCCACCCATACACTGGTCCACTAGATGACCGCACACCTGGACCATATTCCACAAGCAATCTCATCATTGCAACTGTCACAAGTCTATGTTCAAATTCGGACTAACAATAGTTGTTAGGTTTGTTCTGACGAAGGAGCACAGGTGAATTTACGATTAGGTTCCAACTTTGATCATTTGTGGACAATATGAAATATTATCATTGTATTTGTTGTATTGTTCATTTCTCCTGAAGAAGGGGCAAACTGGATGAATACTTTAACCAAAAAAGTAGGGAACTTGTTTAGATAATTGTTTAGTGTTAAGGCAAGTTCCCTATCAAGGTGGTCTTGTTTGATTCTGCAAGGGTTTTATGTGTCCACCCCTGCTTCGCAGCATAGTCAGTATTTTAATTAAAAACTGCTACATCATGTTTGATATGTATGAAAAACTACATCCAACATGGCATGGTTCTTCTGTGTCACCTTTGTTACCTCTACATGTATATCTTGAATCCACTTTCAATCTATATGGTTCCTTGTGAAGCTGTTTGTCTTTTTCCAGACTCACTTCAAACAATTTCACATCTTTAGACATGAGCAACAACATACACAGAAAGAAGCTTGTATCACATCACTATGATTAACTTATCATTACTGGTGGGTATTGCGAGACACAGCCTTCTAAATTGCTGGTGTTCTTGGACTCATTTCAAGTAATGTCTTATATTTCTGCTCTGTGGGTGAAATTCTGCAAATAAATAAAGGAACACTTGTACTTTCATGTATTCCCTTATTTGTTTTCATGAGTATATTTGTCTGTCATAGTGGCTGCCTGTAATGGCAGAGTCAACTTGTCATACCATTTGCCTTCATCTTCAAGTTTTCACACTAACTGTGATGCAAGAAACATGGCCCATTATCAGATGCATCATACAGACCCACACAGATTAAAGTTGTTCCTGTTCCATAGCTGTATGCTGGTGAAAACAATGTCATTTACGACAGGGAAGTATCCTGACTTCCTACCAGGATCTGTTCCAACCTGTTGTATGACATATTTTGTTCGGACACTCAACACAGGATATGAGGTTGTGTTATCTATATTACTAAATATGTAAATGTGTACATAAAGTGTACAAATATAATAAAAGTTTTGTTCATGTCCCCAAGACTTGTAGTTCTGCAAAAATATCCGTCCATTTTTACTCATTGTTAATCTGCACAGTCCAAGATTGTGTGCATACTGCTTGGTCAAAAGTGTTATTTATATAAATAAATGTTTTGAAAAGATCCTTGTGTTGTTTATTCTGCTTTTGGTACTCATTGCCCTTTCAAGGAAAACATGACTAATGTCAATGTGTTTACACAGAATCGTATTACAAATATAACAGGGACGCTATTGGGATTAGCCAGAGAGAAGTCACTGAAACCAGTGATGGGGATGGATGTAGCAGGTTTCTATAGCATGAATGTTGTGTAGGTGGATGCCATATTCTCTGCTAAGGGTTGACCTGTTTCTCTTTTAGATAGAAGTGTTGGTCTTCGTTAATGGCTGGCTTGTTCTTTTGTTTATATATCCTTGGTCTCTGTTAATGTCTGGCTTCTTTCTCTTTTCTTAATTCGTCATTGCCTTGGTCTTTGTTATTGTCTGGATTTTTTATTTGAGAAATAGATGCCTTGGTCTGTTAATTGCTGATTTTTCACTTTCATAGGAACATGCATTGACATCTGTTGGTAGTTGGTTTGTTTTATAGGTACATGCATTGACATCTGTTGGTGGTTGGTTTGTTTTATAGGTACATGCATTGACATCTGTTGGTGGTTGGTTTGTTTTATAGGTACATGCATTGACATCTGTTGGTGGTCGGTTTGTCTCACAGGTACATGCGTTGAGATCTGTTGGTGGTTGGTTTGTGTCACAGGTACATGCGTTGAGATCTGTTGGTGGTCGGTTTGTCTCACAGGTACATGCGTTGAGATCTGTTGGTGGTCGGTTTGTCTCACAGGTACATGCGTTGACATCTGTTGGTGGTCGGTTTGTCTCACAGGTACATGCGTTGAGATCTGTTTGTGGTTGGTTTGTCTCACAGGTACATGCGTTGAGATCTGTTGGTGGTTGGTTTGTCTCACAGGTACATGCATTGACATCTGTTGGTGGTCGGTTTGTCTCACAGGTACATGCGTTGAGATCTGTTTGTGGTTGGTTTGTCTCACAGGTACATGCGTTGAGATCTGTTTGTGGTTGGTTTGTCTCACAGGTACATGCGTTGAGATCTGTTGGTGGTTGGTTTGTCTCACAGGTACATGCGTTGAGATCTGTTTGTGGTTGGTTTGTCTCACAGGTACATGCGTTGAGATCTGTTTGTGGTTGGTTTGTCTCACAGGTACATGCATTGATATCTGTTTGTGGTTGGTTTGTCTCACACGTACATGCGTTGAGATCTGTTGGTGGTTGGTTTGTCTCACAGGTACATGCATTGATATCTGTTGGTGGTTGGTTTGTCTCACAGTTACATGCGTGGATATCTGTTGGTGGTCGGTTTGTCTCACAGGTACATGCGTTGATATCTGTTTGTGGTTGGTTTGTCTCACAGGTACATGCGTGGATATCTGTTTGTGGTTGGTTTGTCTCACAGGTACATGCGTGGATATCTGTTGGTGGTTGGTTTGTCTCACAGGTACATGATCGGATATCTGTTGGTGGTTGGTTTGTCTCACAGGTACATGCATTGACATCTGTTGGTGGTAGGTTTGTTTTATAGGTACATGCATTGACATCTGTTTGTGGTTGGTTTGTTTTATAGGTACATGCATTGACATCTGTTGGTGGTCGGTTTGTCTCACAGGTACATGCGTGGATATCTGTTGGTGGTTGGTTTGTCTCACAGGTACATGCGTGGATATCTGTTGGTGGTTGGTTTGTCTCACAGGTACATGCGTGGATATCTGTTGGTGGTTGGTTTGTCTCACAGGTACATGCGTGGATATCTGTTGGTGGTCGGTTTGTCTCACAGGTACATGCGTTGATATCTGTTGGTGGTTGGTTTGTCTCACAGGTACATGCGTGGATATCTGTTTGTGGTTGGTTTGTCTCACAGGTACATGCGTTGATATCTGTTGGTGGCTGGTTTGTCTCAAAGGTACATGCGTGGATATCTGTTGGTGGCTGGTTTGTCTCACAGGTACATGCATGGATATCTGTTTGTGGTTGGTGTGTCTCACAGGTACATGCACTCCACACATAAATGAATCAAATCCTGCAGATCATGAAGAGTTGATTGAGCCCTCAAGATCCCGACAACGTTTTACTTGTCCTAGAGCGAATATATCAAGCTTCTTTTACCGCAAAAAACTTGCTGTGTACAACCTTACGGCACATAGTACGATAGGACCTACTGCATACTGTGCAGTTTGGCATGAGAAACTGGCAGGAAAAGAAACCAATGAAATAGCAAGTGCTCTTTGTGCTATTCTTGCTGAACTCAGTCGTGTCTCAGTCTGTCCTCAAGAACAGGATATGAGGAGGATGTCGTCTCCACCTACAGGAGCTTGTGTTGATAATTGTCTGACAGTCAAACACTGTTCCACAAAACATGAACTGCCCAAGGACAAAGCTGCAGACCTCAGATCTATGTTAAAATTCATAACCTCAACAGATCTCATAAGATAAACTCATTCAAGAACATGTTTGATGTTCATGCTTTAGGGACATGTCTGATATGTCTTGTAACTCAATGGTAAAGTCTTTTAAACCTGTTTCAAGTTTTGAAGTTGTTTAAGAGATTGTTTGTTTTTGATACCACAAAACTGAGTGTCTTTACTTAAACAATACAACAGTGATCCATGACATCAATTTGTGTCGGATGTGTTTAGTGAGTTCACTGTTCTAGTTCCATACGGCAAAGTACTTTATACCTGTTCCAAGTTTTGAAATTTTAAGAGATTATTTGATTTTGATTTATTAGGGATATGCTCTTATCATAAACACATGGCTACATCCAATTAATCAATAAGATGATAATCAGCACATCCAGTCTGAATTATACATTACAATCTAAGTTTGATTCTCAATATCAATATTTTAACTTTGCTGTACTAGTTCTTGTTCATAATTGTTTGACGTTTGCCAAATGTTCCCTGTTCACCGAGTTCTTATATATTCCCATATGTTTAAAGGAAATCACCATAAAATATCAATGACCAGCATACTTTTGGTTTGAAATAGCAACATAACATGTCGGTTTCAAGCCTATGCACTCATGCATGGAAATCAGAAAAATAGCATTACTGAAAGTGTTGTTTTGAAAATAAAGGTATTTTCCTAATCATTTGTCTTATTTCGGGTTTTTTAAATAAGAAAATTCAAAATATTAAGATATATACGTACATTTTCGGAGCTATTTCAGTATTTTATGGATATAGGACACTTTGGAACTGAACAAAACAGCGTTTGATTTTAGATATTTGTTCTATCTCCAAACACCTTTTTCTTATTTACAGGTTAAATCTACATTTTGGATCATTAAAATATGGTTCTATAGTTTCAGAATGACAACAAGCATCTGCATGCAAAGTTACAAACAGTTGCCTTGGGAAATATTCATTTTACACATACTTCAATCTTTGGGACTTCGTATCTCGAAACCAAGTTTTGGTGAGATAGAACACTCTGGTTCTCAGGCGACGATTTGATAATAAATATTACGTGTTTCTGAAAATTTGCGTCCTTATAGACTATTTAAAGTGTTAAGTGGTTAAAGTATCCAGCTGGATTAAATGTCAAGACTATCATTGTCAATAGTTAACCATCTGTACAAATAATGAGGAAACTTGGCTTGAGCACTTACAACTGCTGTGTTGAATTTGGTGTGGTGAAATAAGTGAGCGACTATGGTTTATACTGCATTTAGCAATATTAGAGCAACACCACGGGTGAGTTTATTCACACATAATGGAGCCCAATAGTGGTAAGGTGTCTGCCTATCACGCTGAAGGCCTGGGTTTGATCCCCGATGGAGGCTCATTGGTTCAGGTCCAGAGGTGGGCACATTTGTGTAGTATCCTTGGACAAGATACTTAGATCCACATTGTCTCAGTTCACCCTTATCTCAGTGGGCAAGCACTATAAAACCAGCTTCAGTCTGGGCTAGTACAAGCAGCCACACATACACATACACACGCATGCACGTCGTCATATGAACGAAATATTCTCAAGCACGACGTTAAACCCAATTTCACTTCACCTCAGTTCACCCAGCTGTAAATGGTACCTGTGAGGATATGCTGGCAATGTGAGTGTTTAGTTCATTGCGCCTAACAGGCAGCATGGCTGTATGCTCTCCAGGCATTTGAAAAAGTATTGGAAAGTACAATATTGTCCTATGACTGGGGATAGTGATGTAGGTAGCGTCATGAGCAGGCAATGTGCCTGGACATGAGCACCATATAAGCAGAAGAGTGACATCTCGAAACCTCCGTATTATTATTACTATTTACATACCACTCATGTTGGGAATGGAACTGGGGTCTTAGGCATGATAACTGCACACTCAGACCACCAGGTGCCCTCCCTGATCATTCTCAGTAAAAAGAAACTGTGTTCGCCTGTGAGTGATTCTCACCCCATCTGTACACAAATTCTGACTGAGTTTAGTTTTACACCGCTATTAACATATCACAGCAATATCACGGCGGGGCACACCATAAACTGACTTCACACATTGCATCCGTGTTATTGTACCCATGTGGGGAATCAAAACCGGATCTTCAGCGTGATGAACAAACACTTTAACAACTAGGCTACCTAATCCCTACTGTACACAAATGGCCACTGAAACCCAATTAATGACAGCTGACATGAAAAGGAGAGACATCAAGCGTAACACTGGTAGGAGGGGAGAGACATCAAGCGTACTACTGTAGTAGGGGGGATAGAGACATCAAACGTACTACTGTAGTAGAAGTGAGAGAGACATCAAGCGTACTACTGTACTAGGAGGGGAGAGACATCAAGCGTACTACTGTACTAGGAGGGGAGAGACATCAAGCGTACTACTGTACTAGGAGGGGAGAGACATCAAGCGTACTACTGTACTGTAGGAGGGAGAGACATCAAGCGTACTACTGTACTAGGAGGGGAGAGACATCAAGCGTACTACTGTACTAGGAGGGGAGAGACATCAAGTGTACTACTGTACTAGGAGGGGAGAGACATCAAGCGTACTACTGTACTAGGAGGGGAGAGACATCAAGCGCACTACTGTACTAGGAGGGCGAGAGACATCAAGCGTACTACTGTAGTGGGAGGGGGAGAGACATCAAGCGTACTTCTGTAGTAGGATGGGGACGAGACATCAAGCGTACTACTGTAGTAGGAGGGGGAGAGACATCAAGCGTACTACTGTAGTAGGAGGGGGAGAGACATCAAGCGTACTACTGTAGTAGGATGGGGACGAGACATCAAGCGTACTACTGTAGTAGGAGGGGGAGAGACATCAAGCGTACTACTGTAGTAGGATGGGGACGAGACATCAAGCGTACTACTGTAGTAGGATGGGGACGAGACATCAAGCATAACACTGCTAGAAAAGGGGAGAGACACTTCTACTGTAGTAGGAGGGAGGAGAGGCATCAAGCGTAAAAGTTTTAGGAGGGGGAGAGACATCAAGCGTAACACTGTAGTAGTAAGAAAGAGAGACATCAAGCGTAACATTGTAAGAAGGGGAGACACATCAAGCATAACGCTGTAAGAAGGGGAGATACATCAAGCATAACACTACTAGAAAAGGGGAGAGACATCAAGTGTAACATTATGGTAGGAGGGAAGAGAGACATCACACATACCACTAGTGGGAGAGGGGAGAGACATCAAGCGTTACACTGTAGTAGGAGGGGGAGAGACATCAAGCGGATACACTGTAGTAGGAGGAGAGACATCAAGCGTAACACTAGTAGGAGGGGGAAGACTTCAAGCAGAACACTGCAGTAGGAGGGGGAGAGACATCAAGCGTAACACTGTAGTAGGAGGTCAGAGACATCAAGCAGAACACTGTAGTAGGAGGGGGAGAGACATCGAGCGTACTACTGTAGTAGGAGGTCAGAGACTTCAAGCAGAACACTGTAGTAGGAGGGAGAGACATCAAGCGTAACACTGTAGTACGAAGAAACAGATGCATCGAACGTAGAAGTTTTAGGAGGGGGAGAGACATTAAGAGTAACACTAGTAGGAGGGGAGAAACATCAAACGGGGGAGAGACATCAAGCATAACACTGTAAGAAGGGGAGAGACATCAACCGTAACACTGTAGTAAGAAAGGTCAGATACCTCAATTGTAACACTGTTGTAGGAGGTGACAGATATTTCAATTGTAACACTATTGTTGGAGGAGTCAGATACCTCAAGTGTAAAATTTTTGTCGGACAGGTTAGACGCCTAGCTCAGAGGAATGCATTTGTAGAATGGGTCAGACATACAAATTATGATGGAAAATCAAACTAATCCGCCAGTCTCTGGTTGGAAGTACGGTATTCCTCAAAACATTCATTCCTGACCACATCCTGTCTGCAACGTCTGTGACGCATGCTTCCGCCCCTGCTGACTGAGTCAACATGAATAAGCTATATAATAGGTCTCGGTTTCCGCTGATGTTCATGGTGTAACTGCACGGGGCTTTATACAGCCAATAAACAGTAAATGCATGTCGACGAGGATGTTACATGGAGGAAACACATTCGTTTGACAATTCACGGAGGAGGCTTGCCGACCATATACTTCTGCGCGTTACTGTGTAGTAGTTCGTGGACTCTTTGTACCTGCAGCAGTTCGTGGACTCTTTGTACCTGCAGCAGTTCGTGGACTCTTTGTACCTGCAACAGTTCGTGGACTCTCGTTACCTGCAGTGACAGGCGCGTCAAGTTGAGGATGAACGAGTCAGATTGCGGGTGCAATGTCAGGTTGACGCTGTAAAAGTCGGATTTACATCAACAGTTATTGTGTGGAAGTAAACTTAAGATGCGTACTGGACACAACGAGCCAGTCGAAGATAGTGACATTGAGGTGATTCAGGAAATCCTAAAGACAGCTGCATTACTTTGAGGCGATGGTGATATCCCGTGCTGAAATGAATAGTCAGTGTTGCCCTCACTGTCTTCAATGGTCGCGCACCATTTAACGTGTTTTACACATAGGATCGATACTGACTTTGACCAAAGTGTTATTTTGTGAAATCCATGGTGAACAACTACATGTATGGCAGGTTGGTAAAACAGGCCTATGACGAGCAGGTACGTCAAGGGGTATAGCGTTAATCTGATTGTACGTCCAGGGGTATAGCGTTAGTCAATACGTCCAGGGGTATAGCGTTAGTCTGATTGTACGTCCAGGGGTGTAGCGTTATTCTGATTGTACGTCCAGGGCTATAGCGTTAGTCTGATTATACGTCCAGGGGTGTACGGTTATTCTGATTGTACGTCCAGGGGTATAGCGTTATTCTGATTGTACGTCCATGGGTATAGCGTTAGTTTGGTTGTACGTCCAGGGGTATAGCGTTAGTCTGATAGTACGTCCAGGGGTGTACGGTTATCCTGATTGTACGGCCAGGTGTATATAGCGTTAGTCTGATTGTACATCCAGGGGTATAGCGTTAGTCTGATTGTACGTCCAGGGGTGTACGGTTATTCTGATTGTACGTCCAGGGGCATAGCGTTATTCTGATTGTACGTCCAGGGGTATAGCGTTAGTCTGGTTGTACGTCCAGGGGTATAGCGTTATTCTGATTGTACGTCCAGGGGTGTAGCGTTTCTCTGATTGTACGTCCAGGGGTATAGCGTTATTCTGGTTGTACGTCCAGGGGTATAGCGTTATTCTGGTTGTACGTCCAGGGGTATAGCGTTATTCTGGTTGTACGTCCAGGGGTATAGCGTTATTCTGAGTGTACGTCAAGGGGTGTAGCGTTATTCTGATTGTACGTCCAGGGGTGTAGCGTTATTCTGATTGTACTTCCAGGGGTATAGCGTTATTCTGGTTGTACGTCCATGGGTATAGCGTTATTCTGATTGTACGTCCAGGGGTATAGCGTTATTCTGATTGTACGTCCAGGGGTATAGCGTTATTCTGATTGTACATCCAGGGGTATAGCGTTATTCTGATTGTACGTCAAGGGGTGTACGGTTATTCTGATTGTACGTCCATGAGTATAGCGTTATTCTGATTGTACGTCCAGGGGTATAGCGTTAGCCTGGTTGTACCTCCAGGGGTATAGCGTTATTCTGATTGTACGGCCAGGTGTATATTGCGTTAGTTTGGTTGTACGTCCAGGGGTATAGCGTTAGTCTGGTTGTACGGCCAGGTGTATATTGCGTTAGTCTGGTTGTACGTCCAGGGGTATAGCGTTAGTCTGGTTGTACGTCCAGGGGTATAGCGTTAGTCTGATTGGCGAAAAAACGCAAGTACAATCTCAAAATTATAGTCATGGTTTGTGTTAGTCTGATGATAGGTCCAGGTACACAGAGTTAGTCTGTCAGTTCGTCCAGGTACAGAGAGTTAGTCTATCAGTTCGTCCAGGTACAGAGAGTTAGTGTGTCACCTCGTCCAGGTACAGAGAGTTAGTCAGTCAGTTCGTCCAGGTACAGAGAGTTAGTGTGTCACCTCGTCCAGGTACAGAGAGTTAGTCTGTCAGTTCGTCCAGGTACAGAGAGTTAGTGTGTCACCTCGTCCAGGTACAGAGAGTTAGTCTGTCAGTTCGTCCAGGTACAGAGAGTTAGTGTGTCACCTCGTCCAGGTACAGAGAGAGTTAGTGTCACCTCGTCCAGGTACAGAGAGTTAGTGTGTCACCTCGTCCAGGTACAGAGAGTTAGTGTGTCACCTCGTCCAGGTACAGAGAGTTAGTGTGTCAATTCGTCCAGGGTTTGCTGTTTCAAACGCCGTGGTTGTGATTCAAATATACAAGGGACATAAAATGGAAACGTTTACTGCGAATATGAGTGTAATAGTCATCAACATGAACCACAGTAACTGCAGTGATACTTCTGCTGACATTATGTCCGTCGTGGAATCGGTGACCGTCCTCATCAACCTGGTGTTGTGTGTGATCATCTGTGCCGGCAATACGCTGACCATTGTAGCGGTGTGGAAGACACTCTCTCTGCGCACCGTGCCAAACATGTACGTGGTGTCTCTTGCCGTTGCGGATCTCCTTGCTGGGGTCATGTCGTTGTATCAATGTGTCAAGTACCTTCCAAAAATGCAGAAAATATTTGACTGCTATAAATTTATGTGTCTGACTCGACACATGCTGCTTGTGACGTCGCTCGCCGCTTCTGTACTGACCATGGTTGTGCTGGCAATTGACCGGTTAGTGTATATTAAATTCTGTCTGCACTATGACCGGATGATGACCCCACGCCGAGCGCTTATGAATCTGGGTGCCGCGTGGGGTGTGGCCATCTTAGTGGGGACCGTCTCTCTGTATCATAACTCATGGGAAACCGCGACTCAATGTACCATGTTCGAAGTGTTCACAGTCTACCTCCAACTGTACACCCTCGTCCCTGCCTATATTGTCTGCTGCATCGTCATCGCTTGCTGCTACTGCTACATCGGCTTCATCTGTTATAGACATCGTCGCGACATTATACGTCAGGAGCAGCTGACGGCGCCAGACATCGCCCACACATCGTCACGGCTTCGTCAGGGGTGGCAACTGATACAGTTGTTCATGATGGTTTACGGGACTTTCATTTTGTGTTGGACGCCGTGCATGGTGGCGTTAGCTCTCGGTTACACCATTGGAATCAACACAGACGTCATGAACTTTCTCGTTCCTCTAGCAGTCGCCAACTGCGGCATGAACTTTTTCATCTACGCTTTCAAAAACTCAGATTTCAGGAGTGCGTTTAAAAACATTTTGTGTGGAAAACGCCGTAAGGCAGATGGATATTAGTTAATTTCTGTGGTAATGTTGTGTCGAGATACTACAGTGTTTACTAATGTGTAAACGTGTTTATTGATGTTTATTGCACTACTTAGGGCGCCTTACGTCCATCACACGTCGTGTAAAATATTGCATGGCTTGAGGATTTCACCATTTCCAACACTATAATTATATTCAGTATTTTCTATGAATAATGTCTACCATATAACTGGCCACAGCGAACTCTCTAAGGTAGTGTTATAGGAGAGAGTCGGCTGTAGCCATGTCAGTTCCATCTGTTTACAATGTGTCGTCAGATTACTTTGTCCAGCCCCGATGTTACATAGCATGGGGCATAATGTAATAGAATAAAATACTGTGCTATCATGGCTTTGGAAAATCGATCAGCAAGTCTGGCTATCGGCAGGAAACGTCCGAAGGCAAAATATATGCGTGAGTGAGTGAGTGAGTTAGCTGGTCTGGACTTAAAACAGCTTTGATCAGTCTGCTTGATGTGGACGGAATGCTGGACATTATGCACCAATGAAACGTTTACTTCGGTGAAACCTTCGAACATTGGAAGGTGCTTGGTCTTAATCAGTGAGCTACTTCGACTGGACAACGACTAGGGAGATGATGATTGGGAAGATGTGGGCGGGGGCTATCTGTCGGCAGCTGACCTGTGACAGGAGTATTGAATATATTTTACTGCAGCTTCACACAATGACTCCTTTCCCACTGGGGTAACTGCCATTGCTTTAAAGGTATTCTTCATCGTTGGTGTGAGATGGACTCAAATCGCGGGTACACCGACATTAATGAAGACTACTCGACACATTAGGCATATAGGGACATCTGGGACGCACAGGCACTATATAGTGTAACTACATGTAGGTCAATAAGGACTGAACGTGTGTAACTTGGTGAGTGGGGTAAAACAGGATTTAACTGTACATATGTTGCATGTGTGTAGGTATGTGTGCTCGTGTGTAGGTATGTGTGCGCGTGTGTAAGTATGTGTGCGCGTGTGTGTTGTTGTTGCTTGTCCTAATGCCAGGTCGGCAGCATACTCAGACGACCCTAGCATACTCAGACGACCCTAGCATACTCAGACACCCCTAGCATACTCAGACACCCCTAGCATACTCAGACACCCCTAACATACTCAGACACCCCTAGCATACTCAGACACCCCTAGCATACTCAGACGACCCTAGCATACTCAGACACCCCTAGCATACTCAGACACCCCTAGCATACTCAGACACCCCTAACATACTCAGACACCCCTAGCATACTCAGACACCCCTAGCATACTCAGACACCCCTAGCATACTCAGACGACCCTAGCATACTCAGACGACCCTAACATACTCAGACGACCCTAGCATACTCAGACACCCCTAGCATACTCAGACACCCCTAGCATACTCAGACGACCCTAACATACTCAGACGACCCTAGCATACTCAGACACCCCTAGCATACTCAGACACCCCTAGCATACTCAGACACCCCTAGCATACTCAGACGACCCTAACATACTCAGACACCCCTAGCATACTCAGACACCCCTAGCATACTCAGACGACTCTAACATACTCAGACACCCCTAGCATACTCAGACACCCCTAGCACATCAGACACCCCTAGCAGGCGGCAAGACCAGCCCATGTTGTGTACCATAAATGCCAGGGTGGCAGCATACTCAGACACCCCTATCATACTCAGACACCCCTAGCAGATGGCAAGACCAGCCCATGTTGTGTACCCTAAATGCCAGGGTGGCAGCATACTCAGACACCCCTAGCAGACGGCAAGACCAGTCCATGTTGTGTACCCTAAATGCCAGGGTGGCAGCACACCCCTAGCAGACGGCAAGACCAGTCCATGTTGTGTGTACCCTAAATGCCAGGGTGGCAGCATACTCAGAACCCCTAGCAAGACACCCCTAGCAGACGGCAAGACCAGTCCATGTTGTGTACCCTAAATGCCAGGGTGGCAGCATACTCAGACACCCCTAGCAGGCGGCAAGACCAGTCCATGTTGTGTATCCTAAATGCCAAGGTGGCAGCATACTCAGACACCCCTAGCAGACGGCAAGACCAGTCCATGTTGTGTACCCTAAATGCCAGGGTGGCAGCATACTCAGACACCCCTAGCAGGCGGCAAGACCAGTCCATGTTGTGTACCCTAAATGCCAGGGTGGCAGCATACTCAGACACCCCTAGCAGACGGCAAGACCAGTCCATGTTGTGTACCCTAAATGCCAGGGTGGCAGCATACTCAGACACCCCTAGCAGACGGCAAGACCAGTCCATGTTGTGTACCCTAAATGCCAGGGTGGCAGCATACTCAGACACCCCTAGCAGACGGCAAGACCAGTCCATGTTGTGTACCCTAAATGCCAGGGTGGCAGCACACCCCTAGCAGACGGCAAGACCAGTCCATGTTGAGTACCCTAAATGCCAGGGTGGCAGCATATTCAGACACCCCAGACTAGCAGACGGTAAGACCAGTCCATGTTGTGTACCCTAAATGCCAGGGTGGCAGCATAGTCAGACACCCCTAGCAGACGGCAAGACCAGCCCATGTTGTGTACCCTAAATGCCAGGGTGGCAGCATACTCAGACACCCCTAGCAGACGGTAAGACCAGCCCATGTTGCGTACCCTAAATGCCAGGGTGGCAGCACACCCCTAGCAGACGGCAAGACCAGCCCATGTTGTGTAGCATACCTGAAGACACCCTAGCAGACGGCAAGACCTAAATGCCAGGGTGGCAGCACACCCCTAGCAGACGGCAAGACCAGTCCATGTTGAGTTCCCTAAATGCCAGGGTAGCAGCATATTCAGACACCCCTAGCAGACGGTAAGACCAGTCCATGTTGTGTACCCTAAATGCCAGGGTGGCAGCATAGTCAGACACCCCTAGCAGACGGCAAGACCAGTCCATGTTGTACCCTAAATGCCAGGGTGGCAGCAAATGCAGACGGCAGGGTCCATGGCAAATGCCAGGGTGGCAGCACCCCCTAGCAGGCAGGCACCAGTCCATGTTGTGTACCCTAAATGCCAGGGTGGCAGCACACCCATAGCAGACGGCAAGACCAGTCCATGTTGTGTAAAATGCCAGGGTGGCAGCACACCCATAGCAGACGGCAAGACCAGTCCATGTTGAGTTCCCTGTGCCAGGGCGGCATGGCACGCACCCCCTAAATGCCACTAGCAGACGGCAAGACCAGTCCATGTTGTGTTCCAGCCAGGGTGGCAGCATACCAGACACCCCATAGCAGACGGCAAGACCAGTCCCTATAATGCCAGGGTGGCAGCACACCCCTGTCCATGCAGACGGCAAGACCAGCCCATGTTATTGTACCCTAAATGCCAGGTGGCATAACCAGACACCCCATAGCAGCACGGCAAGACCAGCCCATGTTGTGTACCCTAAAATGCCAGGGTGGCAGCCTGTTGCGTACCCTAAATGCCAGGGTGGCAGCACAACTCTAGCAGAAAGACCAGCCCATGCCAAATGGGTGGCAGCACAAATGCCCAGCATAGCAGACGGCGGTAAGACCAGTCCATGTTGTGTCCACCCTAAATGCCAGGGTGGCAGCATTAGGCGGCAGACACCCCTAGCCAGGACGGCAAGACCAGTCCATGTTGTGTAACCTAAATGCCAGGGTGGCAGCATACCAGACACCCCCTAGCAGACGGCAAGACCAGTCCATGTTGTGTACCCTAAATGCCAGGGTGGCAGCATACTCAGACACCCCTAGCAGACGGCAAGACCAGTCCATGTTGTGTACCCTAAATGCCAGGGTGGCAACATACTCAGACACCCCTAGCAGACGGCAAGACCAGCCCATGTTGTGTACCCTAAATGCCAGGGTGGCAGCATACCAGACACCCCTAGCAGACGGTAAGACCAGCCCATGTTGTGTAATTCTAAATGCCAGGGTGGCAGCATACTCAGACACCCCTAGCAGACGGTAAGACCAGCCCATGTTGCGTACCCTAAATGCCAGGGTGGCAGCACACCCCAGGCAGACGGCAAGACCAGCCCATGTTGTGTAAATGCCAGGGTCTAAATGCCAGGGTGGCAGCACACCCCCTAAGCAGACGGCAAGACGGCAAGACCAGTCCATGTTGAGTTCCCTAAATGCCAGGGTAGCAGCATATTCAGACACCCCTAGCAGACGGTAAGACGGCAAGACAGTCCATGTTGTGTACCCTAAATGCCAGGGTGGCAGCATACCAGACACACCTGGCAGACGGCACCATGTTGTGTACCCTCAGACACACCCTAGCAGACGGCAAGACCAGTCCATGTTGTGTACCCTAAATGCCAGGGTGGCAGCACACACCCTAGCAGACGGCAAGACCAGTCCATGTTGTGTACCCTAAATGCCAGGGTGGCAGCACCAGCCAGGGTGGCCAGCATGTTGAGTACCCTACCCCTGGCAGCATAACAGACAGTCCATAGCTAGGTAATTCGCCAGGGTGGCAGCAAGACCAGTCCATGTTGTGTACCCTAAATGCCAGGGTGGCAGCACACCCTAGCAGCAGACGGCAAAACCTGTCCATGTTGTGTACCCTAAATGCCAGGGTGGCAGCACACCCCTAGCAGACGGCAAGACCAGTCCATGTTGTGTACCCTAAATGCCAGGGTGGCAGCACACCCCTAGCAGACGGCAAGACCAGTCCATGTTGTGTACCCTAAATGCCAGGGTGGCAGCACACCCCTAGCAGACGGCAAGACCAGTCCATGTTGTGTACCCTAAATGCCAGGGTGGCAGCATAGCAGACGGCAAGACACCCCTAGCAGACGGCAGCAAGACCAGTCCATGTTGTGTTCCCTAAATGCCAGGGTGGCAAATGCCAGGGACGGCAAGACCAGTCCATGTTGTGTACCCTAAATGCCAGGGTGGCAGAATAGTCAGACACCCCTAGCAGACGGCAAGACCAGTCCATGTTGTGTATCCTAAATGCCAGGGTGGCAGCATACTCAGACACCCCTAGCAGACGGTAAGACCAGCCCATGTTGTGAACCCTAAATGCGAGGCAGAGATCCTAACTTAGTTTGTACGATACAGTCGAGGATCGGCCTGCCTCCCCAGGGAACCTGACTCCACAAAGGTAGGTCGTCACCGGTGTTACTGACTATTCCTGAAAACATTAATGATGCACGGGCATTACTGGCCGTGACTAGACACACGGGGCGTCACAGAATTCACTGTTTTATCGCCTCACTCAGCAATATTCCAGCTGTATGACGGCAGGCTGTGAAGAGTCGAGTCTGGACTAGACAATCCAGTGACTGACATGATCTACGCAATTGTGACTGATGACGTGCATCAAACGAGCTAGCGAATCATATGATCCCATCAGACATCAGTTGCCTCTTGACAACAGGCATCGCTTACTGAAGATCAGTTCTAACCCTATATTCTTCTCGGGGGTCAAGCATTACTGGCCATTTCCAGACACACTAGAACTTCATTAGGTATTAGCACGTATTACTGGGTGTTACTGGACACATAATGCATATACTGGCATTACTGGGTGTTACTGGACACATAATGCATATACTGGCATTATTGGGTGTTACTGGACACTTTATGCATATACTGGCATTACTGGGTATTACTGGACACATGATCCATATACTAGCATTACTTGGTTTTACTGGACACATTATGCATATACTGGCATTACTGGGTGTTCCTGGATACATTATGCGTATATACTGGCATTATTGGGTGTTACTGGACACATTATGCATATACTGGCATTATTGGGTGTTACTGGACACATTATGCGTATATACTGGCATCACTGGGTGTTACTCGACACTTTATGCATATACATGTACTGGCATTACTGGGTGTTACTGGACACATGATCCATATACTGGCATTACTGGATGTTACTGGACACATGATCCATATACTGGCATTACTGGGTGTTACTGGACACATAATGCATATACTGGCATTATTGGGTGTTACTTGACACTTTATGCATATACTGGCATTACTGGGTGTTACTGGACACATGATCCATATACTGGCATTACTGGATGTTACTTGACACATGATCCATATACTGACATTACTGGGTGTTAATGGACACATTATGCATATACTGGGTATCAGTGGGCACATTATGCATATACTGGCATTGCTTGGTGCTACTGGACACATGATCCATATACTGGCATTTAGTGGTGTTACTGGATACATAATCGATATTCAGAGATACCTGAGTTTTACTGGTAAAAAAATGATATACATTTATTTATCGGTGTTGCTGGACGGATTATATGTGTGTGTGTGTGTGTGTGTGTGTGCGTGCGTGCGCGCGCGCGCCCTGTGTGTGTGGACACATAACTGGGTATTACTGGACACACAATTGATATGCAGGCAATACTTGGTGTTACATATTAGACCTAATGCATGCTTTACGTAGTGTTTCTGGCGCCCATATGGTGCACATGCATTATCACTGATACTACACTATACCCAGTCAGCATGCTTATCTCTATGGCCGTGTGTTGTGAATGTATCCTGCCATGCGTGTACCATTCTCTCGGCTGATATTAACGCCGTTGAGCTGTATGCATTAATAATCCTGCGAATTCAAATCTCCGCTTACTGGAGCGTCTCGGGTTCACATTAATGCTCACCAGTCTGACCTATTTAATTGAACCCAAGCAAATACAGAGGTGTGTACACTTGTGGTATGTATAAACCATGGACATGTACCCGCTAACCTCTCCACACAGTGAAACCAAGGGAGCCTTATCATAACCCGCACATGCCCCTCTCTCTCTCTCTCTCTCTCTCTCTCTCTCTCTCTCTCTCTCTCTCTCTCTCTCTCTCTCTCTCTCTCTCACACACACACACACAAACTCTCCCTCTCTCTCACTGACGCACACCACTCTCAATTATGTAAAAAAGATACGAGACAAAAATACACCGTGTACATGAAGCGTAGCCTGGATCTCATGTAAAAGGCATAAAGCTAACTGTTCGTGTGTTGGCGCCTGCGTTCGATGTTATTTAAACAATTTGCTACCGGGCCACTGCAGTTGTAGCATGTGTAGGTCTGTGACCCTTGGTTCGCCAGCTGATCTGGCCGGAATAGATAGCTGACCCACATCAGAAAACTCCCTCGACGTGACACGCGCCTTCGCCCCCCAATAAGTATAGTAGAAGAGGGTGTGACCACAGACTGACTCACTCCACGTGGGTGCAAGTACAGGACACCGAGTGATAGTCACTGTGTCTCCCGGTCTTTGTTTCTCACACTAGGAAGGAAGTATCGCCAGTCGCGTTGTATCGATGAAGTTAATGTCACTTGGAAGAGTTGAGTTACTTGTGTTCATCTTGATCCTTGTCACACTGAAACAAATCACGGAATGATATCCAGTTTGACCAAGGACTGTGTCATCAACAGAAAAACAGCCACAGCGACACGACACTGTTAAACAGTTACTACAATATATCGGATACAAACATCCGATCACGGACAGCCTCTGGACGGGGGTCAACGCAGGATGATTCCATTTGGATCTCGCTTCATCATCAATGCGGGCAGGCGGATTCTCGCTGGTTGAGTTCTGGGGTTGGTGATGTGTGTGGAACTCGGACAACTACTGTGAATTCCACAACTTCTGGAGATTGTACCACCGCTTTGTAAGCCGGCGTGAGTAACAACTTTGCACTTGTGACTGCACGTCGTGTCGCCATGGAGTCAACGACCGCCGCTCTTGATTCAAGCCCCGACTACTCCTTAAACAGTACGTATACTAAATCCAACACGAGCAGTGTCACCGAATCGGGGAGCGGTTTAAATGTAGTAGACGCTGTCGTAATCGTCATGCAGATACTGATGGCCGTCGTCATCATCGGCGGCAACGTACTCACCATTTTAGCAGTGAAGAGGACGCCCCGACTCCACACTGTGCCCAACATGTATGTTGTGTCCCTCGCAGTCGCGGACCTAATCGTGGGAATAGTCCTCCCCTTCTATGCTATAAAGATGTTCCCTGGAATGGAAAACCTGTATAATCAAAACAAATACTTATGCCTCAGCCACCCGGTGCTCCTGATAGTATCCGCAGGGTGTTCAATAGTGTCCATGGTTGTCATATCCGTGGATCGTCTCATCTACATCGTCCGCCCTTTAAGGTACGAGTACATCGCAACAGCTCGTCGAGCTCGCATAATCATTGGGACCACGTGGTGTGGTTGCATCTTCTACGGAACTCTACCCTTATACTACAATACATTTGACGGTGTGAAGCCGTGTGAACTGTTTAATATCCTACACATGGAATACCAGTTGTATGGTCAGGTGACTATATTCTGCGTCTGTTGTGTGGTGGCAGGAGCTAGTTATGGATACATCTTTAAAATCTCGTACCATCAGAGGAAGGCCATGCTCGATGTGACCCGCCAAAGTATTGATACAGACACCAGGGCCGTGGTGTCCACGTTTAAAAGAGAATGGCCCATGATCAAGATGTTTGTATTGGTGTTTGGTGTGTTCTTTGTGTGTTGGTGTCCCGCGATTGTGGGGATCGTGCTGGGGAACACAGTCGGGATCGAACCGACAACCATGAATTTATTAGTATTGTCCTGTTTGCTCAATTCTGGAATGAACTTTATCATATATGGGGTGAAAAACCAAGATTTCCGCCGTGCGTACTGCCTGCTGTTGTGTTCTAAACGGATCAGTTATTATGAACGCACGGACACTGAGAACAAGTCCGCCTCGGGCAATGAACTCATGTATACGTGATACAATGTGGAGGGTACAGCGGTACAATACATCATACAGTGTACACGATGCTGTGGTAGAGACGTGGTTGGATCTTTATTGATGGAGTCTCGATACAATGTGGAGGGTACAGCGGTACAATACATGATACAGTGTACACGATGCTGTGGTAGAGACGTGGTTGGATCTTTATTGATGGAGTCTCGATACAATGTGGAGGGTACAGCGGTACAATACATGATACAGTGTACACGATGCTGTGGTAGAGACGTGGTTGGATCTTTATTGATGGAGTCTCGATACAATGTGGATAATACGATGATGCATAAGTTATACAACATGAATGATACAATAATGCATGAGTGCTATATCATGGATGATGCAGTGTGTATGTCACAGTCACAATGATACAGGTATGATTCAGACTGGAGTGATGAGTCGAGACACATCGTCGTGGATACAGTGGAGTATTGTTGATGCAATATGGATGATATGGTGATGTGTTACTGATACAATATGCTAATACTGTGATATTAATGCAATATTGATGGAACGGTGATGCATTACTGATACAATATGAATGTTAATGGGGGGTACGGTGATGCATTACTGATACAATATGAATGTTAATGGATGGTACAATGTTACATTACTGATACAATATGAATGTTAATAGATGGTACGATGTAAGATTACTGATACAGTGTGAATGTTAATGGATGGTACGGTGATGCATTAGTGATACAATATGAATGTTAATGGATGGTACGGTGATGCATTACTGATGCAATATGGATGTTACTTTGATGCATAAGTGATACAACACGGACGATACAGTGTACAGTACAACCAGAAATTGTTGAGAATTTAAAGATTGTAATATTTCATTTATTTTTCACTTATTACTCACGTATTAATGTGAATATTAGCAGAACATAACTCCAGATTTAAAGACAGGTGAACAGTTAGTATTGTGTCAAGTCACCATGGGAAGCAATGCAGGCTTCATTGCGGCGGGGCATACTACTGATCAAAGAAGTTAGAAAGTCGTGGTCCATGCTGTCCCAATATCGAACCACCTCTTCTTTCATTTCAGCAAATATTTGTCAGATTTTTCTTATTGACACTTTCCTTCATAAGTCCCCAAACATTTTCTTTTGGATTTAGGTCAGGGCTATAGCTTGGCCAATCTAATAATGTCATTTTTGGGGTCAAAAACCAGGCCTGTGAATGCTTTGAACGATGTTTTGGGTCGTTGTCCTGCTGGAAAATCCAAAAATTGCAATAGAACACGTGAGCAGATGGAAGTAAATGCAAATCTGTGTACCGCTCACTGTTCATATTCCCTTCAAATACACAGAGGGGCGTTGCCCCTAACACAGATATGCCACTCCACACGTTAACTTTCGGACTGTACTTTGGGCGCTGATACAAAGGTTTTTCAGTTTGTTTGGTCCAGAATTTCAGTGTATAAGAAAACAGCCACACAGGACTTTCATCTGAGAAAATCACATTGTCCCAGTTAAAATTTCTATGCTGTAAGCACCAGTTCAACCTTCGCTCCTTTTGTTCAGGTTTCATGATCGGTGATGGAATTCCGCGACTTTTCTGCCAACCCATTGAATGCACCTCAGTTCTAATTGTCTCCTTACAGACAGCCACAGTTCCTCTATGAATCATATCCAGCCTTAAGTTTTCTAAACTCCTTCGTTTGTTTTTAGAAACAAGAATACCAAGCCGCCTCTTGTCACCGACAGTCAATTTTCTGGGCCTACCTGCGCCTCCCTGGTGCTCAATGTCATATCCATTTGCAATATTTTTCAAAACACGATAAACAGTAGACAAAGGGATGCCTGTTCTACTTGAAATCACTTTAGCTGATTTGATGTCCTTGTTATAATACTCTAAAATCAACTTCCTCTTCTCTAAATCATCCATACTGAGGGTCACTGAAAATGTCGTCTGCTAGCAAGTAAACAAAGGGGGATAACTCTTCACAAACTAATGAAAAAGGATTAACGGAGTTGTCTCTCTTGAATGAAACCAAGCACTTGATAGCTCGTCAAGGTTGTTTAACATATTCCTAAAATTCTCAATAATTTCTGGTCATACTATATATGTCACACTAATACAGAGATTATTCAGATCGAATAATTACTGATGAGCCGAGACACATTGTAGAGGATACGGTGATGCATCATGGATGCAATATGGATGGTACGGTGATGCATTATTGATACAACATGGTTGATGAAGTGCACATGCCACAGTCATGATAATGCAGACATGATTCTTAGGTGTTATAGACAAGATGAAAACAAGATGATGTCACTGTCATGGTACAGGAGTTATTCAGTCAAGATGTGGCATTATCTCACTGCCAGGGTACAGGAGGTATTCAGTCAAGGTGTGGCATTATCTCACTGCCATGGTACATGAGGTATACAGTCAAGGTGTGGCATTATCTCACTGCCATGATACAGGAGGTATTCAGTCAAGGTGTGGCATTATCTCACTGTCATGGTACAGAAGGTATTCAGTCAAGGTGTGGCATTATCTCACTGCCATGGTACAGGAGGTATTCAGTCAAGGTGTGACATTATCTTACTGCCATGATACAGGAGGTATTCAGTCAAGGTGTGGCATTATCTCACTGTCATGGTACAGGAGGTATTCAGTCAAGGTGTGGCATTATCTCACTGCCAGGGTACAGGAGGTATTCAGTCAAGGTGTGGCATTATCTCACTGTCATGGTACAGGAGGTATTCAGTCAAGGTGTGGCATTATCTCACTGCCATGGTACAGGAGGTATTCAGTCAAGGTGTGGCATTATCTCACTGCCATGGTACAGGAGGTATTCAGTCAAGGTGTGGCATTATCTCACTGCCATGGTACAGGAGGTATTCAGTCAAGGTGTGGCATTATCTCACTGTCATGGTACAGGAGGTATTCAGTCAAGGTGTGGCATTATCTCACTGCCAGGGTACAGGAGGTATTCAGTCGAGGTGTGGCATTATCTCACTGCCATGGTACAGGAGGTATTCAGTCAAGGGAGGCATTAGCTCACTGCCATGTTACAGCAGTTATTCAGTCAAGGTGTGGCATTATCTCACTGTCATGGTACAGGAGGTATTCAGTCAAGGTGTGGCATTATCTCACTGCCATGGTACAGGTACAGGAGGTATTCAGTCAAGGTGTGGCATTATTTCACTGCCATGATACAGGAGGTATTCAGTCAAGGTGTGGCATTATCTCACTGTCATGGTACAGGAGGTATTCAGTCAAGGTGTGGCATTATCTCACTGCCATGGTACAGGAGGTATTCAGTCAAGGTGTGGCATTATCTCACTGTCATGGTACAGGAGGTATTCAGTGAAGGTGTGGCATTATCTCACTGTCATGGTACAGGAGGTATTCAGTGAAGGTGTGGCATTATTTCACTACCGTGGTACAGGAGGAATTCAGTCAAGGTGTGGCATTATCTCACTGCCATGGTACAGGAGGTATTCAGTCAAGGTGTGGCAATATCTCACTGCCATGGTACAGGAGGTATTCAGTCAAGGTGTGGCATTATCTCCCTGCCTTTGTACAGGAGGTATTCAGTCAAGGTGTGGCATTATCTCACTGCCATGGTACAGGAGGTATTCAGTCAAGGTGTGGCAATTATCTCACTGTCATGGTACAGGAGGTATTCAGTCAAGGTGTGGCATTATCTCACTGCCATGGTACAGGAGGTATTCAGTCAAGGTGTGGCATTATCTCACTGCCATGGTACAGGAGGTATACAGTCAAGGTGTGGCATAATCTCACTGTCATGATACAGGAGGTATTCAGTCAAGGTGTGGCATTATCTCACTGTCATGGTACAGGAGGTATTCAGTCAAGGTGTGGCATTATCTTACTGCCATGGTACAGGAGGTATTCAGTCAAGGTGTGGCATTATCTCACTGCCATGGTACAGGAGGTATTCAGTCAAGGTGTGGCATTATCTCACTGTCATGGTACAGGAGGTATTCAGTCAAGGTGTGGCATTATCTCACTGCCATGGTACAGGAGGTATTCAGTCAAGGGAGGCATTATCTCACTACCATGGTACAGGAGGTATTCAGTCAAGGTGTGGCATTATCTCACTGCCATGGTACAGGAGGTATTCAGTCAAGGTGTGGCATTATCTCACTGTCATGGTACAGGAGGTATTCAGTCAAGGTACGGTGGAATGGTACGAAAGTGATGCTTGCAGGGAAGGAGCAGTGTTAGCTGTTAATGCAGTTCAGGATACAGGGTCACGTACCACGGTGCCTATGTATGTGCATGTTTTAGGCGGTCAGCAGTTCTATCAGGGCTGTCTGATTTCATCGGAGGCCAGGTCTCGTGGATGTGTACATATAACACGCGATATAACGTTGACTGCTCAGAACAAAGGACCTGAACGAGAGTTGATTGACCAGCAGTCGCATGTGTTCATCCTGTATGGTGATTTATTCACGAAACTCCGAGGAGAGAAGCCCGCCTCAATAGCGGAATTTATTTTGGTGTTGAGTAATCGGCGAACATCACAAAACATTCCAAGTGAAAAAATGTCCCAATAGCTAGTGTAAAAAATAGCTAGCAAATAACAAACGTGCCAACACTCTCACTGTGTCCAATGAGAAGACGAATGTCCCAACACTCTCACTGTGTCCAATGAGAAGACGAATGTCCCAACATTCTTACTGTGACTTTAATGAAGTAACGTTATGTACACAATATTGTCGTTCCATACCTTTTTGTTGTTTTGTTTTTTTCTGACAAAATGTGATATACTTGAATAAACTAGTCCGAACTGACTATATATATTGAACTCAGAACTGATGCTTGTCGAGTTTGTTCTAACGGTATACATAAATGGGGATGCGGCTGCCATGCCTGGCTACGTGCATCTTGTTTTGTGGATCGTTATTCAGTGAATCACTGGTTAATCTGGTCCAGATTGACTTTGGATACAGCATATCTCGACAAACCATACTCAAATGGGTGTTCAGGTCCGTGAAAGTGATAGCATTGGGAGTGAGCAGTTCCATAAGTGGTCACATCCACAGGGACGGATTCCTGTTGGAATGAACACAAAGG